CAAAAAATAAAGAAACAAAAAGAAGAAATACGAAAAAAAGAATAAAATAATTTCTTTTCATTTTTTGATTCTCAATTGATATCACTTCTTATCCTTTTTTATTTCCTTTCTTTGACTCTTTCTTTTTCTTTATTCACTTGAAATGAAAAATGAGGTATTTAGAAAGTTTAAATAACAATTAATTGAGGGGTTCTTTTGGTTCTTCAGAACTCTTTTGTTGGTTGTCATGGTTAGATGATCTTTCTTCGTCTTGTGTATCTTTTTTACTGTACTTCTTTTTATATAGATCAATTAATAATGAGACAATGAGTGCAAGAACACCAATACCCAAGATTATTACAACAGAACAACAAAAGAAGATAGTAGTAGTTTTTACATAATGGGCTCCTTGATAAGTTTCTTCCCAATCTTCTTTAGCAAAGCAAGAAACTATCAAAAGTATAAAGATAAAAGTGTTCATACAAGTAGATTCTTTTAAAGAAAGAAGAACTAAGAAATTAAATAAAGAAGTATAAAAAGAAAGATTTTGAGAATTAAATATAAATAAAAATATATTTATTCTATTTTATATATGAAGAATCTATTAGAAGCAAAAATGTAATTTTGTAGAATATTGAAGAAGAAGATGAGGTGCAAACAAATTTAAACCCTTATTTTATTCTTCCTTTTTCAATTACTTAACAATATGAGTGATGTTCCTGATGAGAAAAATGCTGCAGTTGGGTATATTTGTGCTGTTATTAGTGTAGTTTGTTTTGGAAGTAATTTTACACCTGTTAAAAAATTTCCAACAGGAGATGGATTCTTTTATCAATGGGTAATGGCAATTGGAGTACTTCTTGCTGGAATTTTTACGTTGTTAATAGTAAACTCAACAAAAGATTCTCCATTTGTATATTTTGAACCATTTGCAATGATTGGTGGATTTATATGGTCAGTTGGTAACGTTTTCTCTGTACCTGCAATTCAAATGCTTGGACTTTCAATGGGTCAAGGTATTTGGGGAATTTGTAATATGATTACTGGATGGGTTACTGGTACATTTGGGTGGTTTGGTATTCATGCTGATAAAAGTACAATAAAAACATTTTGGTTAAATTGTGTTGGTGCAGCTATAGCAGTATGTGCTGTTCCCTTCTTTATTTTTATTAAAACATCAACTAAAGAAGAGCGAGAGGCATCTGAAAAGTTAAAGAAAGAAAAAAGTTTAAATGAAGATAGAAGTGACATAGAATTAAAAGATGAAAATAATGAACATAGTTGTGTAGAGAATGAACAAAGTGAGGAAGATCCTGAAAAAAAAAATAAAGCAAGTAATAAAAAAGATATGAATGAAGTAATTGATACCATTAATAACACTTCAAATACAGATCTTCATCAAATTATTGAAGTTGATGAACCTGCTTCAATACCTATTGAACGAATATCTCCTTTATCAAGATTATATAATTCGTTACCATTTATTCCAAAGAAAATATTAGGTATATGTTGTACAGTCATTGTTGGAGTTTCATATGGTGCTTTTTTCCTTCCACCAAAGTATTTACAAGATAATTCATTAGGTTCACCAAATGGAATTGATTATGTACTACCATTCTTTCTTGGATTATTCCTTACTGCAACTGCTTTTTTTGGTGCATACACTTTTGCATTTAGAAATAATCCATTTGTCTATCCTCAAACTATTGTGCCAGCACTATTGAGTGGTATTATTACTGGAATAGGAACAACTACATGGTTTATTGCTGCGAACAACATCCCATATTCAGCTAGTTTCCCTATTATTACATCAGGACCAATATTGTTATCTTCTGTATGGGGAATAGTTGTTTTTGGTGAGATTCGTGGATGGAAGAATTTTTTGTTATTCGGTTGTGGTACAGTGACTCTAATAGCTGGTATTGTCTGTATTGTTGTTTCAAGTTAATTAAATAAAAGGTTATAAGTTATTAAATAATGGTTTATTTTTAATTTTATTCTTTGAAACAGAGAAAGAATTATTGTTTTTATTTAATTCTTTAATTTAATTTTATGTTATTATTATTTTTTTGAAATAATGATAATTTAAATAGTCATATTTAAATAAAAACCAATTAATAAGTATTAATAGAATCTGTGTCTATTGTTTCTGGCCCAGGGGAGATTAGTCCTATCACCGTTATCAATTAATTCAATTGTGTATGTTTTATTATGGTAGGTATAATGTTTCATAACATCCATCATTTTTTTAATTACAATGTTTTTAATTTCTTTAGTGATGTCAATTTCGATTTTTAATTGTTTAATTAATTTAATACTTTCTACATTTACTTATTAATTTATTGAAATTATTACCAATTATTTTGATATCTTTTATTTTCTCTATTTTCATTAGCCTATTTTTCAATTCCTTATACATATTTCTTTTCTTCCAATAGGCTCCATTAATATTATGATCTGCCACAATAGTCATATCAAATATTAGACCAGTTTTATTCTTTTTATCTAGTACATATATATCTGGTCTTTTATGATATAGTCCATCACTTTTTGGCATTATTTGTTTGTTCCATATCATAGTGATGTCGTTGTATTGGAACACTGTTTCATATGGGGGTTTCTTGTATTGTTTATTTCCTGTGTATTTTCTTATTAACCCCTCCCATATGATGATGCCAATATGGTCATGTTTCTCAATTTGTGATTTTTTATGACCAATACAAGATAGTAGAATGTGTTCTACTGTGGCTATCTTGTATTTACAAAGTGGGCAGTACTTCAATCTTTCATTTTTTAATATTTTTGCTTTCCTGTACCTACAAAATATTGCTCCATCTTGCATTTTAGTTAATTGGAGAAATGTATTTTTCTTAATATTGATGGACTTCCATATATTTATTGTAGTAATTTTATCTACCCCTTTTGACTCGAACCATCTTCTAAAATGTCCACTTGTTTGATGGGACTTCCATTTTTTGATGTATTGGTTGTCATTAATTTCTTTATTTTTACTACTACCTCTTTTTCTTTTTTATTTTCAATCCCTTCATTTATTATTTCTTCTATTTTCGTTTCTGGGATTTTATGACTAGGGCTTTTTTAATTCTATTCCATATTCCTTTCTTGGAATACCATCTATCTATTATGTTATTTCTTATTTCACTTTTGTACAATAGTACATTACTGTTCTAATTATTTCAATAATATATTCGTCCCTTAGGCTTATTAATCATTCACCAATTTCATTTATAGGGACATATAGACGGTCTTTGGAGTTACCGGCACCAATGTATTTTGCCTTTCTTAAATATTTTCTTATCTCCAAATCCATTCTATCTAGGTTACATTCCAATTTACTACTGATGCTGAATATCTGAAGATGGGTATTACTTCAGTATTAATTCTTGTAATATAACTTCTATTACTACATTCATCAGTATTTATCTCTTCCATTTTCTTCATCATCTTTTATTTGATGATTTTACAATTGAAGGTATCATTAATTTCATCGGACTGCCATACACCTAAATATTTATACAAGTCCTCTCCTTCAATTAATGGGATGTTTTGCATTCAATCTGGTATTTTATTAATGTTCTTTAATACCATTCCTGATTTCTTTTCATTCATTTCCATCCCTATTCCACTTATTATTTGTTTAATTTCATTGTGGATTGTTCCCATTTCTTCATTACTTTGTGTCATTATTCTCAAATCATCCATATACAATGTATTGTTTGCTTTTGTGAACTTCTCTTCTATGAAATGAGAAATTATATTCATTTGGATGATGAAGAGTAGAGGGGATAGGGAATCACATTGTAAAATTCCTCTCTTCAATTTAATACATCCTGGATATTCATTATATTTATATTATATTAATATCTTCCATCTATTCATCATACTTTCTACAATGTCTATGATGATACCCTCTACATTAAAATATTTAAGTGATTCTATTACCCATTCATGATTTACTGATTCATATGTTTTCTTAATGTCATAATATGACTCTACATATTTTGTGTATTTCTCTTCTTTTTGCTGCTTTAACATATAACTGTTAATTAATCCTTCTTTAGCAGCAAGAGATTGCAGTTTACATCCCAATTGATTTTTACTAATTTTTAATGATTCACTATTCATGTTAATTCTATTGTGAATCTTCTCTTTCAATATTGAGGTAAATACTTTCATTATTACATTTGTACAACTGATAGGATGATAATTAATGACATCGTTGCTATCACCTCCTTTGTTGATTAGTATAGTTCTTCCACTTACCATGTCTAGAGGGATGTTTTCATTGAAGTTTAACCATTCATTGAAGATATTAAGAATGGAATCTCTTGATGATGACATTCTCTTCCAATAATACAAATATATAATGTCAATACCTGGTGATTTCCAATTATCTATTTTCATCAGGCTTAAATTTAAATCATCCATTGTGATGATGACACTATCATAATTCCTGTATCTTTCATTCCACGAGGTGATTTGTTTTATTTTCAAATGTTCTTTATTTAATATCACCTGTGTTTCATATAACAATTTCAAATATTCTAAAGTAATATCGTTATTTGGGTATATTTCATTTTGTGTTTCTTCTTTATTTTCATTTTGTTATTAGAATCAAACATAATTTTATTTGTATTGATTCTGATAATTTCATTCTTATTAAATTTAATTCTTTCTTTAATCATTGTCATCATATATTTTATGTACTTTATTCTTTCTTGTGCTTTAATTTTAATTTCATCTGCATCTTGTTCCTTTAATCTCATGATGTATTTTATTCTGTACCATTCCCTTGATTAGATCTTCTAGTCTATTTATTTTCTTTAGGATTTCTTTATTTCATCAAATTTATCTCATTTAAATTTATTTTAGAGATAGTAATGCATACACATTGAAATCATTTTCATATCTTCTTGTAGATTTTCTATTCTCCTGACCATACCCATTTATTATTTATTTCTCTTATTAATTTATCTGATTCTTTCATTTTCCAGTAGTAATTAATATTTACACATTTATCTATTTTCATTTCTTTAACTTGAATGATGATAGAGCTAAGATATTCATCATCAATATCAGTAGAGTTATTTTTTATGATAATGTTTTTTATTATTGGATTACACTCTACTTTCCCTTCTATGATGGAGTTCACTTTCATTTTAATATATCTTTTAGTTATTTCTTTTATTTTATGTGATATTTTAATATTATTAATGTATTCTTTATCATTATTTACATTATTATTTATTACTTTTATTATGCTTTCTATTTGTTCCCATCTTAATTTCTTATTTAACAAATTAATTGCAAAACAATACAACACATCAATTAAAATTATATTTGTTTGATTTGTTGTGTTTTCTTCTTTTCTTGACTGATTATCATTTCTTGTTTTTTGATACTCAGTGTTTTGCTCTCTTCTATTTCCAGAATTGTCTTTTTCATAGTTGTAGTTTTGTTCATTTGTATTGTCCCAGATGATGATGTTCTCAGTATTGGTTGTGTATTTATCATTAATATCATTGTTTTCTTCTTCTCCAGTTCCTTCTGGGATAAAAAATTTTCGATATTTTCTTATTGTTTTGATATTATTTGTTTTTGTTCTTCATTTTCTTTTTGTGTATGGTCTAATTCTTCTTTTGTTATTTCTGCAATCTCATAGTTTTCAATCCCACTTTTTTGATATACAGAGATTTGATTTTATTTATCTCTTATGTTCTTCTCTAGCAGCTCAGCACTCTCAGCTCATCAGCCTTCTTCTTCTCTAGCTCACCACCTTTAAGGACTTCGTCCTTCTCTTTCTTCAGCCTCTCATAGATAGCTCGGAGCGTGAAGATGGTTTCATCCTTACCTCCTACTTCTATGTTCCTTCTACCATTTGCCTCATTTATTTTTCCTTGTAATGTCTTGTTTTCCTCTTTTAATTTAGAGTTTTCTTATTTCATTATATGTTTTTGAATATTGTTTATTTGTGTTTGAATCTTTTTTATTTCTTCTTCAAACTCTTTCCTGACTGTTTCTCGTGTTTTTTGAATTATTTCATTTGAAATAGTTCGTTCTTCTTTTTTGTTTGAAGTTCTTTAATAGTTTCTTCTAATTCTTTGATTTTATTTTGAAGTGTGTTGATTTCTTCTTTGTTGCATTCTTCTTCCTTTTTCTCTTCTTTATCTTGTGTTTTCCTTTTATTTTCTTTTTCATTTATTATTCTTGCATATTTACATCTATCGTTCTTTTCTTTGATTCGATTTTTGTGTTTGATTTCTTCTTCGATTGTTTTAATATCTTCACTTTTCCAATCTTTTGTTTTATCTTTGAATTCTTATTTGATTTTCTCTAGTGTTTTCTTCTTTCTTATTGAATATACTTCTTGGATAATATTATACAATTTCTTTTCTTTACCTTCGTACTTTTTAAGTATTTCTGAATATTCTCCTTTTTCCCATTTTCTTGTTATTCTTTTAATTTTCATTTTAATTTCATTTGTTGTTAACCATTTAGATTTCTTATTTGTATAATGTTTATTATCATTATATTTACTTTCTTTCTTATTTGTTTTATTTGTATTCTTCTTTTTCTATTCACTTTTTTCTTGTTATTTCTTTTATCATAATTATTATGCATTTTATTGCTATTGAAGTCCTTTCTTTTCTTTGAACTTGAATACCTGTGTCTTGTTTGATTTTCTTTATAAGACTCTATAACATTACTCAATAGCCATGGCAACAAAATTTGATGTATATTCTGCATTGATAAAAGGATATGAAAATAAGAAATGAACAAACAGAAAATAAAAATGATAAATAAAATAAAATAAAAAATAAACTAATTATAGATAAAATAACAATAATATTAAATATTATTATTTTATTATTAATTTTATTATATATTATTGTTATTTAAAATAATAAAAAATAAATAACATTTAAT